CCAAGGCAAACAGCTAAATTCAAACGAAAATATACATGGGAGTTGATTTACCTGCTAAAGGATTTGTATTTTTGTCCATTCATTCTTGATTTATGCAGCCTTGCCACACAATGTAGCCAGGCTGATGTCCTGACTATTCTCTGTTTCAGATAATCAATAATGCTAGGGCACCTCTCCGTCCCAAGCCTGAAACTGGACAGTAACTGAGCAGCAGCAGATCAAGGAGATGATCCCTCTGCTTAACTTGTCAGCACATGTGCATGCAGCATGCTTGATTTGCTCCTAGTGCTGCCCCTCCTTCTTCTAGCCTGAGTGCTGCTGTACAAGGGATTACAGGAGGCCAAATCAAATGAGGGTACTTACACTAGGTACATTTAAACATACAGTTCTTTTTTTTTAAATAAATACATAACTGTATTCAATTTGGCTGGAGTTTAGCTTTAATGCAACCCTGTGTTTTGCCAACTAAGGACAAAGTTACAGGTCATTTTATGTATGAGGGTTATAAGCACATACTATTTAACTACTTGCTCCTCTACTGTCCTGTTGATCCACAAGACCCAGAGTACTACCTGGATTAGAGGTGCATGCAAATCTCCTTAGGTGTACTGCATTCAGTGGTTGATGGGCAATGACCGGGTCCAAACATAGCCATATGGGGGCAATAGAAGTATCCACAGTGCAGCGTAAGCTCCCTGTGTTGCGTTGGAACAGAAAGTGCTCCCTATCCTCCCTGCTTCAAATTTTTTTTACTTTGCCCTGAATGTGCCAAATACAGTTTTGCTATAAAGGTCTGAGATGTCTTCAGAAAAATTAGCACCATTATACAAACTGAACTTTTGTATCCTTGAATCACCCTCTCCCTCCCTTCCCTTTAAAGCTTAAAGGAGGAGGAAAAAAAACAAAGGCACTTGAGGCGTATGGCTTCTTGAACTCATCATCTTCAGGGAAAATCTCTGGAAAATCGTCTTGTCAAGCCCAAAAAACTGTCATACTGCAGCCTTCAGCAAGGCTTCCAGCCAAAGGTAGATTAGGAATGTACGTTGCAACAAATTGACAGTTGCATGATCACAGGGAAATCCTTGGCAATGCATATTTTCTATCTACTTATATCTTATTAAATCTCAGCTTTCATTCATTATTTTCAGATTCGCTGGAGATCTTTTCAGAGTCTATCACCGAGTCTTATGAAGAGTTGTACTTGCTTAAAATTTTTTTTAAAAATACAGCAATGCGTCTTTAGGGGAAGATTAGACAGCTTAACGGGGAATCTCTCATTAAGCAACGTTTTAATCCTATTAAACACAGCCATAATTAAGAGCGGTCTTGTCTTCTGTTTGATGGCTGCGCCAGGCTATTAGGAGGGAAGAGGATGCTTAAAATAAGAAGTCAAATATTAAGATATCTCGTATGAAATTTGAGTCCAGAAGAGAGTGTACGGATTTCTGGATAATTCAGGAGCCGCTCAGTCCAGTTTAAGAGCCAGTCGACACTTTTGAGGAGCCAGGGGGCACTTGGTTTAAGGAAAGAAGTTCACAAGTCAGCAACTAGCAGGAACAATTAAAGTTATGTATTCATGCTAATCAGCAGCTGTTCCTGAAAAGTGGAGGAGGCCACAGCCTATGAGGTTCAAATGCCTCCCACCACAATGTATAAGAAAAAAAAAGATTGTGGATGAAAGCTGAACTGGACAATAATAATACATAAAAAAACACCATTTAATCATCTAATATATTCTCTTAAAATGAATCCAAATGTATTTTAAACAACGGAATTTGCCTTTTATAACCTTATGTAGTTGCATGCTCAACGGGACTTGTACTGAAAAAGGTAGGATCAGGAATATGAGCCAACAATACTGTATTGCATTTCACAGTGCTGTCAGTCTGACACTGGGAACTTGTTGACAGGAAGAGTGATGACCTTAGCAGCATGGTACCTACTTTAGTGCCCAATCAACAGGCTTGGGTCAGTGTACAAGTTGTATTGCTTAGAGCTTTTGTCATGGTGGAAAAAAAAACTCCCCTTGCAGTGGGGCTTCCCCTGCACTGCAATGGTCAACTGCTCGTCAATGTCTTAGGGATATTGGGTAAAGCAATTTTACATACCTGATCTCTGCTTCCCCAGCAGTTGGAGCTTACCTCTCTCCCCTCCACTCCGGCTGTGGACCATCCCTTAGCATCCTCAAGTACAATGCAGGGCTATGGGCTGCATTAGATGTGATGACAACAGCCATAGCAGAGGGGGAAAGAGGCTGTGGGCCCAGTCTTGGATCCTGAAGGAGCATGGACCAGGTAAGTAAAAGTGCTTCACACGGGCTCCCCCAGACAAAAAAGAACAGTTAAACATTACAGTGCGGGAGTAGCCCCATTGCAAGGTTATTTTTTTTTTTACCTTGAGATAGGCTTTAAGGTGTATGTTTTGGCATTACACAAATTTATCCCCAAACCTCCCTCTTCCCTCTTTACATCATGTCCCAGCATATTTTTATTCTATCACCTTGTACTTTTAGTGTGTAACAGCTAGTAATACTTCATGCCACATCATCGCCAGGTTTGTAAAATTCTTGCAGGAGCATCTGCTGGGACAGCTTGGGCTATGCCTACAGCCTAAAGACATAGGCACACCCCCAGAACTACATTTCCAATGCATGTGGAGTAGGACAGAGGGGGGTGGGTAGTAGAAAGAGTTCTGTGGTCCAGCAGTCAGCACTGACAATGCTTGTAGGGATTTCAGTGCACATACTTGAAAATAAAACCATGGGGTTAACCTTAGCTTCTGAGGTTGACCCATAAACCTAGAGCAGGCACCTGCTTGCATCATGGGTTTATCTCAACCTCAGTTTCTGTGGTCAATTCATGGCCCATATTTTTCTTCTGCCCCCTACAATTCTATATACCAAGGGCTAACCTGGAAGAAAAGAAGAGTCCAAAGGTTCACTTTAACTATAATAAAGAAAAATGAAGGTAATAAAGCTAAATCTGATGTCTGGTAGGCCTACCTACATCACAGAATTGGCTGAACTGAATAACAATTCTGCCTATCTGGAGCTTTAAAACAGGATTTTAGTCTTTCCCAATCCCACTTATTATCATGGGAAATCAACTATTTTGATTTTTTTTTTCAGTTTAATACTGTAATTTCACTTGAATAACCTTGATAGATTACAAAATAGTTTTCAATTTGCACATGCTGAAAGCAAATCCATCAAAACACCATCCTTTTACAACCAGCTAAAACACATCCACAATTTAATCCCAAACACACACAATACACAAGGCTTAACTAATATACACAGCTAGGAGAACAAGGCAAGGGAGACCAACAGATTCATTCTGGGATGACGGCAAACCTCTTTGATGCCTCAGCAGCTCTTGCCAGAGTACCAGTCATTTAAGCACTGTGGCTATACCCATGCTGTATGCATGCCAAAGCAGGAAATCAAGTAACTGCAAACCAATGACATGAGAAACTCTAGGACTTAAAACTGAGACATTAAAAGGAAATACTGTATATCACAAAAGAAAAGCCACAGATTGAAATTGTCCTTCTCTGTCTCTAAAGCTGCATACTAGTTGCAAGGAAGAGCAGCTGAAGATACTCATATCTATTGTGCCAGATCAAGCACACAGCTTGGGAGTCAGAGATTGATAAAGTCCGTTTGACACTTCTCATGTGGTAATTAAATTTTTTCACAGGTTCCTTTTAAGCAGCCCTATCACTAGGATAAAACAATTCAAACAGAGCCACTATTGAATGCTTACATCTCCCGCAAGTCCACTCTTTGCTCTGGTCTGGGTGTGTCGGCTAACATGTTCCTCCCTACTATGTAATTCCAGGACACAGTTGAGATGCAGCTGGCGGGAGTAGCCAAAGGGTGTCAGACATCAGTGGCCTCCATAGCTCTGCAACAGAGCGAAGATTGGACAACATCTTTTATATGGTGGCTCTATATAAATTGTTCTAGCCTAGACACAGGGTCCCTTTAAGGAGGACATCTTTCTGCTGCATACAGTTACCGTATACAGTTTCCAGAGCAATGGAAGAAGCTCACTCTGTTTGGTGAGCTCATCATTCCAACACTTTCAACCTTCAAGTTGTTTGGCCATTCATATCCCATCTGACCATACTAGACTGCTGTAGACTAGCCTTTCTTGACACAGGGTTCGCAATGTATATAAGCCTTAAAGATAACTTGGAGCAAAAAAATATAGAAGCTGCCATTGCTGAACGCTCCTTTTGGAAATACAAGCTACAAATTAGGACTTGTGTCTACAACAGACTGGCTACTTTCGCAGGACTCTGGTCATACAATTACACTGAAACTACAGGTTTCCTTGGTGTCACACTTATTCGATGGCTTCAGTCATTTCAGATACACTACCTTGGAGAAAGTCTACAGATCTGTTCTGACTTAATTCTGTCTTACTAATTTGCATGTTTGCTCCAGGTTAGTAAAGTATTGAAGCCAGCGACAGCCAGACAACTAGCATTTCTGGGAGTAGGTCAGCAACAGGAGCCCTGTATTTCTCTCTTTCAAAAGAGGTGCATATTCATTTTCTATAGCAACCTGACCCTAACCTCTTTCATCTTTCCAGTTTACAGGTGGAAGAATGAAAGGAAGCATCCAATTGGCTGCCGTGGGTGATTCCTTCAGCCACCTTTGCTCTTTAGGGTCTACAATCTGAAGTTAAGGTCCACGTTTTATCTCATGATAACAACATGTCACATATGACCACAGTTGTGCGGTTAGCCACAAACATAGAATGTAAAACGATCGTTGTTTTCCCGATAAGTCAAGACATGTAGCAGTATGCAGTACCTAAATATAGAAGATGTGCTTGAGGACACAAAGGTCATCTGTGACTCCATTCCATCAACCTTTGATGGACTTCACTTCCAGAAGATACTCAACATCTTATACCGTTTCCCTTTAGAGGGGAGGTCACAGACCTCTCATCAGTTTTGACATGGAACTTAACCAGACAGATTTCACATACCTCGATAATCCTGTCATGAATCTGAAGACCGCCTTCTTTGGCAGCTGGGCCGCTGTCAACTATCTTGGACACGAAAATTCCTTCGCTGGAGGGCCCGTCCTGATTGTCCTGAAAGAAATGTAACATAACGTGTAAACAAGGTGTTGATTGAGCTTTTGTAGACAGTACATTTTTCAAAATGATCTTTTCATGTACCTAAACAGGAATGGAGGAGCCATACTGTCACAAGTTTCTAGAAGCTGAAGGGAGGAGGTGGGACATATTACATATTAGGAGGGTAAAAGACATTCTTGTATGTTTCCACAGAAGGCTTAAGCTGGCTTTACACAAATGAAATCTGGTCTTGTTCTGCTGAACTGACCGAATTAGAGCTGTGGGGTAACCCTGTTTCAGATTGAACAAATTAAAGAACCCGGGTAAAAAAATTGTCAGCATAACAGTGACCACAGGCAATTACACACAGCCACTGCTTGAGTATTCTGACAGCGGCAAGTTATACATTATCCCCCTTTAAATAAGACAAGATTGTAGCTTTGTTTTAAAAGTGCTACACAGGACACGGCTATGAGGCACCAGTTATAACAAGCTTATTGTTATAGCACTGATGCTTGGGCGGTGACACCACAGACAGAAAATTCACCGGTTCAAAGACAGTGCAGTTGATATCATTTTGGACAGAGCGTAGATGGATTTCCCTATCCAAACGACCAAAAAAAGTTTGATGTTTTTAACTACGTTCCAACAAAGCAACACAAAACACGGGCATTTGTGTAAAAGAGTGCAAGAATGTGAACCAGTAATGTCTCTGATCTTAGAACTGCAAGCATGGAAGGGTTTGAACATCTGCCAGGGTTGTATTGGTGTCAATTCCTTCCTCAGGGCAGATATTCCCAAGGGGGACATACAGTAGTTAGCAATGGAAATCTAACAGAGGTACTAACCCTTCTCTTCCCTGTCCAAAACACCCAAAAAGTTTGACTTTTTTCTCAGCTTCAACAAAGCAACACAAAACACAGGCATTTGGCCAAGAATGTGAACCAGTAATATCTCTGGTCTTAGAACTGAGAGCATGGAAGGGTTTGAACATCTTCCAGGTTTGTTTTGGTGTCCACCTTCCTCAGGTCAGATATCC